ACAGTACATAAAGGCCTCTTAGGTGCAAGCTTTGCAGTGCTAGGTTCCTTGGTTTGAATCCCAACTATGGCACCACCTGCATATTCTCTCAGTGCTGGTGTGGGTTTCCTCTGAGTACTCTGGTTTTCCCTCGCACTCCAAAAGACATGCTGGTAGGTTAATTGGTGTGTGTGTGTGTGTGTTATGGGGACCTTAGATTGTAAGCTTCCTGAGAGTGGAGACTAATATAAACATAGAATATGTAAAGATCGCTGCATAATTTTTCCATGCTACAGAAATACCTGTAATAAATTAGAGACTGCATCCTGTTCCATAATTGTAAAATGATCACAGGTTCACTTTAATAATGCTAAGCAATCAGTTTGAAAATGTCAGCTACTGTACATATAAATTTTCTTCTCAACTTGTTGGTTTGATTCCTTTATACATAACAAAAACTTTATTTGTGAACGTGATAGAGGTGGATTTTCATACGCATACTTATAACACACACATACAGTCAGGTCCGAAAATATTGGGACATCGACACAATTCTAACATTTTTGGCTCTATACTCCACCAAAATGGATTTGAAATGAAACAAACAAGATGTGCTTTAACTGCAGACTGGCATCTTTAATTTGAGGGTATTTACATCCAAATCAGGTGAACGGTGTAGGAATTACAACAGTTTGCATATGTGCCTCCCACTTGTTAAGGGACCAAAAGTAATGGGACAGAATAATAATCATAAATCAAACTTTCACTTTTTAATACTTGGTTGCAAATCCTTTGCAGTCAATTACAGCCTGAAGTCTGGAACGCATAGACATCACCAGACGCTGGGTTTCATCCCTGGTGATGCTCTGCCAGGCCTCTACTGCAACTGTCTTTAGTTCCTGCTTGTTCTTGGGGCATTTTCCCTTCAGTTTTGTCTTCAGCAAGTGAAATGCATGCTCAATCGGATTCAGGTCAGGTGATTGACTTGGCCATTGCATAACATTCCACTTCTTTCCCTTAAAAAACTCTTTGGTTGCTTTTGCAGTATGCTTTGGGTCATTGTTCATCTGCACTGTGAAGCGGCGTCCAATGAGTTCTGAAGCATTTGGCTGAATATGAGCAGATAATATTGCCCGAAACACTTCAGAATTCATCCTGCTGCTTTTGTCAGTCACATCAATAAATACAAGAGAACCAGTTCCATTGGCAGCCATACAGGCCCACGCCATGACACTACCACCACAATGCTTCACTGATGAGGTGGTATGCTTGGGATCATGAGCAGTTCCTTTCCTTCTCCATACTCTTCTCTTCCCATCACTCTGGTACAAGTTGATCTTGGTCTCATCTGTCCATAGGATGTTGTTCCAGAACTGTGAAGGCTTTTTTAGATGTCGTTTGGCAAACTCTAATCTGGCCTTCCTGTTTTTGAGGCTCACCAATGGTTTACATCTTGTGGTGAACCCTCTGTATTCACTCTGGTGAAGTCTTCTCTTGATTGTTGACTTTGACACACATACACCTACCTCCTGGAGAGTGTTCTTGATCTGGCCAACTGTTGTGAAGGGTGTTTTCTTCACCAGGGAAAGAATTCTTCGGTCATCCACCACAGTTGTTTTCCGTGGTCTTCCGGGTCTTTTGGTGTTGCTGAGCTCACCGGTGCGTTCCTTCTTTTTAAGAATGTTGTTTTTTGGCCACGCCTAATGTTTTTGCTATCTCTCCGATAGGTTTGTTTTGTTTTTTCAGCCTAATGATGGCTTGCTTCACTGATAGTGACAGCTCTTTGGATCTCATCTTGAGAGTTGACAGCAACAGATTCCAAATGCAAATAGCACACTTAAAATGAACTCTGGACCTTTTATCTGCTCATTGTAATTGGGATAATGAGGGAATAACACACACCTGGCCATGGAACAGCTGAGAAGCCAATTGTCCCATTACGTTTGGTCCCTTAACAAGTGGGAGGCACATATGCAAACTGTTGTAATTCCTACACCGTTCACCTGATTTGAATGTAAATAACCTCAAATTAAAGCTGACAGTCTGCAGTTAAAGCACATCTTGTTCGTTTCATTTCAAATCCATTGTGGTGGTGTATAGAGCCAAAAATGTTAGAATTGTGTCGATGTCCCAATATTTATGGACCTGACTGTACTACTTGTATATACGCTTGATTAAAATGATGCTATATATATTTTCTTTAAGGGTACTTGCACACGTATGAACATCAGATTCCTGGCAGAAACTTCATCTGTAAAATTTCCATTAAAATAGGCTGAATATTAAATGTTCATACACATGATTAAAAATTCTTCTAACCTTTTTAGAGTTGCGTTATATGCATAAAATACTGTCCAGCAATACAGATTTTTGCATTTTCTTTTTACTGATCTATGTATACACAGTACAAGTGTATGCCCCTGTGTGCATAGGCCTATTAAGAAACAATGCACTAAATTTAGATCAGTTTAAAAAAAATGCCTGAATGCCTAAAATGTGTTTTTAGGCATCCATGTGCAAGACACCTGAAGTGGAACTGAACATGTAGATGAGTATGTAGCTAGGCCCTAGCCAAGCTGAAGCCTGGGTTTTATTTTCTAGCTTTAAATGCAAAGGAGAGTGATGGCATACCATTTGGAAAAATTAAATAGTTTTTCCTTTCCAATTGAAATGTGACGAATAACAATTCTGAGGAGCATGTGATGATGGTTGAGAAATAATGTTTGAAGTTGAATTTTCAGACTAGAAGAGAGAGAAGCAGCACAAGGAGCCAGTTGTGCTGCAGTGTTGAAGTGCTAACAGTGAATATACTGATAAAAGGAGACATCTAAAGATGTTCATTGGCTTGCTGCTTCTTCTTTCACTGTCCAGTCATAGTTGGTAGAGGAACAAGACCTCTAACATTACTTATTTACAGAAGAAAACAATCAGATCCTTTAAACTGCCAGACAGGGACATGCTGTATGGCAAAGCTGTGTAAATCTAAGGACTTGAGAAAGGAAAAAAAAATCCCTTGGCAGTTAAACGGGTACCCATATACTGTACGTCTTTCGCTCTTTCTAGTTTTATTGCAGAATGGGCTGATAGTGGGTGGAGCTGAGCCGCAGGGTGTCATCTGTCCTGTGACATGTGAGGTCACTTCAGTTATCACACATCCTCCCCTTGCAGGCAGTTCAGAGCAGAGTGCACTGCCAATCAGGCATCTGATCCTCCTAGGGGGTGGAGTTAATCCCTGACTCACTCCACTCTGAATGGCCTGGAAGGGAGGGCTGTAATAGCTAAATGATAGCTCTGCCCCCTGTAATAGCTCCACCCCCAGTTGGGCCAGGATGAGAACATGTGACCCCTAGAAAGTAAGCAATGGATAGTTATACACATTTTACTTACTTAGCCAAAAGGGGAGCATGCACACTTTGCAAGCTCATAGAGACTAAAGATCATTGCCACCAGGAAGGAGGACACCCTGGTAATGCCAGGATTACTAGGTAAGTGCTTTTAAAGGAAACCATTATTTTTAAAACTAACAGCACACATAGGCAATACATATATTTAGGAAGGTTTATATTGTTTAGTTTTTTTCCTTGGTTTTAGAATCACTTTATAGGACTGTGTTAAGACTGTGTCCTGGCTCAGAAAGTGTACATATTACCCATCCACAGAAAAAGTGTTGCTAAGGATTTCTGAAAATAATCAAGCTTTGCATTTCATTATCATTTTTTTTTAATACTGGTCCAAGCCTTTGGTACAGTTTTAAAATTAAATAGGTTAATGATACAGTATAGCAGTAACAATGGGTTATACACAAATAATGCAAATGTTTAATAAAGGATTGATGTATTGTATGCTTCAGAATAGTAGAAATAGTAGAATATCTCCATTGCAATCTTTTCTGCAAACAAAAACCTCTATGGTGACATATATCAATAATGCCCAACATGACAAGTTTCTTCGTTCATCACAAGAATGTGACTATTTAACAACAGGAATAAAGTAAAGGTCTAGGTCTGTTAAGAAAAGAGAAAAAAAATATAGATGACAAACTTTAAAGTACACATGTCAATATAATAATATTAAAGTGGCCACAAGATTAAATATAGGCATGGCTTAACTTTAGATGACTCCAAGTATCCAAGGAGCCTCAAATAACAGGGGTACACTAGTATGCAAATTTTAACACTTCCTAGTGCTGTCAAAAGCTTGGCCACTCCCTTCTGCCTCTTGAATTTGCATAGTCAGCCGTCTCTTTTATAGCTGTTGTTGGATTGGTCACAGCAAGTGTGGAAGGGGGGCAAGTTCAACCTCATAACTAGGGTTAGAAAGCACTTAGTAACATGGGACAATGTATTACATGTACTTCACCCCATGAGACAGAAGTGTAAAATAAAAATCATATTGACAGATCTTGTTTAGGTCTATCCTTGCACAGAATGTGACCTTTCAGAAACCTGCCTAACCCATATCCCAAGATATTATAACTACCCAAATACATATAATAGTTGGGAACAGGTACGTTAATGCTCACAAACCAGTACTGGAATAAATGCAGTTAAAAAAATATAGGGGGCAATTCAATAAAGCACCTTTCTTGTGTTATGTCAGAAAATTCTGCACCAAATTCATGAAAGCTGTGTAAGTTTTCTTGCTATTTCTAACATATGCAACAAGTTCAGGTAGTTCTTATGCATGACATGTTTATGTCTATCACTATGGCTGCTGCAAATCACTGGATATCCATATCAGTATATATTAGAAGTTGAGGTTAATAAGACCTCTTCCATGTTGAAGTTAATTGTGTCACATGAGTACTGTGTTTCAGACAAATGTCTGTCTAGGAGAAAATTCTATCACGATTCATATAAACCTCACTGACAGAAAGAATCTGTCACAAGTTGCACCAGTTGTTGCATGTATGGGAGTTGAATTTCTAATGAGTGTCTACTACAGTCTTTATGAATTCCAGAGACAGAATCACCTAGAATTTGACATGGGTATATGATCCATTTGGTTTCTAAAAATCTTACCATGTACTATTGGAATTCTTAGGTTTAGTGCCAATACGGTCAGTCTCTTGAATTTTTGGTTGGTGTGGGCATTCTGCTTCATACTGCAATAGAGACAATATTATAGACATAACAACTAACAGCAAGAACTCTACCATCATCATTTCCTTAGACCTCTACCCTCTGCCTAAACCATTCCACATATACAATTGACTTGTATATACATAGTGTCTCATAGTTTCCTCTGAGGCAACAAGCAGGAAATGCAGATTTCATTTGTGGTGTGATGACTGCAAAAAATACTGCATGCAGTGTCCAACAAGGGATTTATTATTCAAATCAACTCAAAACATATTTTGTACTTTTTTCCCAGGTTGTAGTTTCAGTTTCAGCACACATACAATTTTTAAACCCCCCTCTTTTTTTTTTTCTCTTTACAGTTTTTCCTTTCCTTTGGTTCAGGGAAATACTGCATAAAAGTTTAATAACCCTTCTTTGATTTCTCTAATATAATTTTGTAGGCAGCACTGACAGAGCAGTGTAATGCATAGTTTGTTTTTTTCATTGAGGGTGTACATATCTACACACTATTCAAGTCTTTTCAAAGCGGTGACCTGTGGTGCTGCCTGATGAGATGGGAAAATTGCATCATGTCTGCATTTTTCCACACCACATATCACTGTAGTATTGTAAGAGTTGGGCATATATTAGAAACAATTGTTTTCTATGTGCCCTAGTGGTTACCTGCATCGTTTGTTACAGAAACACGCAGGTTACCACATATAGAGTGGAAAAGCACTTATGGAAAGCTCTACACTGCAAAATCACCATAGAGTCTGCTGCGTGCACCCTATTTAAAATAATTGTCTGTCAATTATTTTACTAGTTTCACTGGTCAGGTACATTGTAAATGTCATTTTTTGTCTTTTAAGTGTTTTTTTTTTACCCAAAAGGGGAAGTTCCGCTTTAAGGACTGCTCCCCCACTCCCCATTAAGGATTAGCACCTTTGGGGGGGGGGGGGGAGCGGGTACCTGAATTTGACAGGTACCCACTCCCACTTTCGGTCCGATCGCCTAGGCGTTCGGAAGTGGAAGGTGTCCTCCTTCCCTCCCTGTAGTCTTTTGGGACATATGACAGGTCCCAGAAGACTACAGGACCATTCATGAAGTGCTACTCGCGCATGCGCAATGGGTACCCAGCTGTGAAGCCGCAACCTATCACAGCCGGGTGCCCACTGAAGATGCCGGCCTCCTGGAATACAGGACGGCCAGTAAAACGGACTTCAGGGGACCCACCGCGGGACCGAGGGACAGGTAAGTGGCTGTTTTTTAAAAGTCAGCAGCTACAGTTTTTGTAGCTGCTGACTTATTTTTTGACAGCATGAGTGGAACTCCACTTTAAAGAGACTGTCTTCATGTTGAAAAGAATGTAAAAAAATGGATCTACAATAGAAAAGGGTTTATACTCACCTATCCTATTAACTGTTCCTCTGATCTACTCTCTGTGTAAAAGCCATGGCTGCCTGAAAAATCTTCACATCTAGGACTTCTAGGACCATCAGTTCCCCCATGAGCAGTGGTTCCTTCTACTGTTCTCTGTGCCACTACTGTGGTGATATAGAGGCTGACAGGAGGAACCAATGAGCACAGCAGGGGACCAGGCAACTAACGCTGTAGGAAGTGTGCTGGATTGGAAGAGGCCATTGTTCTTTAAGAGAGCAAAGAACAGATGAATGGGACAGGTGAGTATAATCTTTCTTCAGCAGGTTCCGTTTTTTTTTTTTTTTATTAACTTGGCCAGAAAAAAAAAAAAACAAAAACAACATTCGAAGATGACAGTTTGTGATGTACATGTACAATAGCAGGTCTAGTTTTTTAAAGTAATTTTTAAAGATTGCCCCAAAATGTAAAATAATTTTTTTTCTCAAATGAGTGCGTCATTTATTGCCAGCCCAAAATGAGGTGTGCATTTTGGTTTTTATGGGTCTGTTTTTCTATGGCAGATTTCATACTGAATTCTCAGAGTCGCTCTAATGTCAGAACACTAGAAATGGCACAAAAATTAATTCAACTAGAAATCCCATAGGGTATTTATCAAGGTATGAAGGAAAAATGTAATCTTCTTGAATTTAAACAATTAAAATGTTACTACTAGCCCAGTCAATTAAGTGGTAACATAAGTAGTTTGTAATTTAATGTCTACATCCAAAATAAGTGAACACTACAGAAAAAGTTGTGTTTTGCCATTTTTGACTTACCTCCTGGCTGGAGCCACAGTGTGAGGTAGAAAGGAGACTGCTGAGTTCAATATCTGCAACAAGTTGTCGAGACTCCACTAACAAGCGTTGCAATTTCATTGTTGGTGAGCACATATTTTGCTATGAAGTAACAATAATAAGCAAAATCAGTATTATTCTTTACCATCAATTAGTGCACAAAGATGAGGCTCACCACTGTCTGCCAAGTCCTGTGCCAAGCAGCTGCCCTTCTGCATAGTGAATACAGGAAGGCGCTCACTCTGCATGGAAACATGGAAGGTGTTTGGTAAATGAGGGCTGTGCTGAGCAAGCAACCCCCTGGAGATGGGGGACAGCAGCGTAAATAAAAGAGGAGGAACACAGGAAGGGGGAGAGGAGCTCGGGCAAAGAAAGGCGGGGGTAGGAAAAGGAAGAGCAAAGCTTAAAGAGAGTGTAAATTTTTATAAGAAGGAGCCATATTCTGTGCTATGTCAGAAATCTAACCAAGTTTTCCTGCATGTTTTATCTTGGCAATAGAGGGATGCTGTAAGGCGTTTCTTTTGCATGGTGTCATTGATTCCAGGATGGTGGGGTTGTTTCCACAAGGTTAGAATGCAAGCCCGTGCAACATGAATTAAATTAATCAATAATGAATTTATACATTTCTTAGTGGAGAGAGAGTTAACATGGAGCAGAAAGGTTGTCACTCAATAAGTTTATGACATCAAAACGGTTTTGCACTAATTTCTCAAAACAGAGCATTGCCAAAATATAAGTAGGAGTTTTCTCTGATAGTGTTTGTATCCCTAACTTACAGGAGGGCATTGTAGGTACATGATCTGGAAGCGAACTGAAGTCTAAAAACACCTAGTCAGTAATTTGCACAGATTCTTGGGGCTAGAGTATTCATGAGCCAATCACAGCAGTCACATGATTGGAATGCCCGCCTCCACCTGCTGGCATTTAGATTCTCTTAAAGAGATGGGAGGCGAGAAGGAGTTAACATTATAGAAACAATTACAACATTTTATCCCAGAAAAAGTGTCGATGAACTATTTCCTGCAGTATTTAGCTGCAAAATTATGAGGTAATGGCAAGCATGCCATGGGGGGGATCACTATATAGATTTAAAAAAAAAAATTAATTTCAGTCTTCCTTTCAGTATGACTGATTACTATGAGCAAGGCTTCCCCTTTCCTCTTAGCTGGTCTTACAAATGGGCCTCTGTATTGCACAGCGCCATCTGCAGCAGTTCAAGTGTGTTCTCAAATTCTCATGCAATAATTTAAGGACATGGTTGGAAGATTCAAAAGGTGCAAAGGTTGAAAAAAACGACATGTCCATCTAGTTCAACCTATAGAAAATAAATAAATAAATAGAAATCCACCATATACACAATCCTATACCCTCAGTTGATCCAGAGGAAGGCAAAAAACCCCTATCCTATGTTTATTATTATATCTTGAACAAAAAATAAAAACAGTCAGTCTGGCTGCAGCATAGAACAATTTCTCTTATATGCAGATCCATTTGTTTAACAAAAAAAATGTTTTTTTTTTCTAGGATATGTAATAAAAGAATTATATGGATTGATATAATGTGGATGTGCCCAACTGGCCACTGGATTCCAATTTTTTTACTAAAGAATTTGGGTTGAGGAGTAGAATCTTAGCCAGGTTTTTATTTTGACTTTTTGCATCCACTAGATGTGCACCAGCGAGTCATCCTCTGTAGTTTTAATTTGTGGGTATATTGGTGGGATAATGGACTTTGAAGATCTTTTTTGTTAATATTAAAAAATATCTTGCCAGAAAGTGAAATTGTCCTATAAAATGTCAGAACTATGAAATAATCAGTTTATTTATGGGTTAACATAAGTTATTTTTATGGTCTTCATTCCTCTTTAATCTAAAAATGTACCCATGAAACTTTAGTCAGATAACCTGATAAAGACTGTGGAAAACATACTGGCATGCACACATTAGGTTCCTATCTGGAATAATTTAGTGGTTTAATTTTGCAGGATCATATCATGAATTTGGCTACCAAGTAAATAGAGAGGTAAATGATTAACAATAAACTACATGATGGACAATAGATTAAAAGGAGAAAATACTGAAATTAGGTGACCTGGCAATAATGAAGTTCATCTTTAAACTTGATTTAGAACTATGACACACAGATAATTATCTGCTAGCAATGAGCCACTCGTAACTTTCTGCAAGCAGTGAGTCCTCATTTGTTTATAGCGCGCATAAAATTACATGGCACTTGGTACAAGGATAAACAAGGTCAAGGCAACTGGTTGTATGCAAAGAAGGGCTGTGGCACTGACGGATGGTTGGAAAGCACATGCAACCACATAAACACCATGGAGACAATATTGGAAGCTCACCATCAGGATTCTCTATGGGTAATAAGTTTCGGCCACTTTACACAATCTGGTTGATGCATACACGAGCTATGGAAACACGAGCTGTTTAATCTTTTTATTTCTTATAAATCAATATTTTACTACATAACTTTAGTGGCTCCATTTCCTGAGACACTTCTCTGTCGATGCCGAATAGACGTTAGTGTCCTTTTTAGTAACTGAGTGCTATGGTTCCTGCTGAAGGCCCCTACATTACTATTGTGTCCTGTAGTGAGGTAGGGGCTTTTGGGAGGAACCACAGTGCATGGCGGGTGACCAGGAATCAGACAGACACTCTCAGAAGTGTCAGATTTAAAGGATTTTTTCAAGCAGCATATTTTCTGCAATATGGCAGCAATTGGCAACATGGGAAGCAGGACAGGCCAATAATAAATATCTGCTATGAAGGGGACACATTTTTAAAGAAGAACTCCAGGCAAAATTATTTTCCCATGCACTGGGCTATACCCACACTGCATGGGTTAAATGCTCGTTTTTTCTAGGGGCTCAGAACACAAAGAAATACTTACCTAATCCGCTGATCCTTCAAGCGGAAGACAGGTCCTCGCCGCTCTTGCCACCCCACATGCTAGCTGTCCTGTGAATTGCCTGTTCTTGACATCATCACACCCATAGACCAGCTCTGGACATGAGGATGGCAGGAACAGTCCACCGCTGGATGTGGGGGAGCGCAGTTTTCCAGAGGAATGGATAAGTACAGCTGTTCCCTGAGACCCTGGACAAAACAAGCATATAACCCATGCAGTGTGGGCACAGCCAGCACTGCATTGGAATATAAAAGTTTTGACCGGAGTTCTGCTTTAACTATTTTTATTTTAGCACTCTATTGAGTCACTCTAAAGGACAGAAAACCCTGCCATAATCTTTGTGAACTGACTTTTATTAAAAAAAAAAAAGATTAAAATATATAAAATTATATGAGGGGTCTTCAAAAAGTTGTCACACTTATATAATCGAGTTTAAAAAAGTGTGAAAACTTTTAAAAAAAACTCTTATATATATATATATATATATAGGGGATCGAAAGTTTGGGCACCCCAGCTAAAAATTTGTATTAATGTGCATAAAGAAGCCAAGGAAAGATGGAAAAATCTCCAAAAGGCATCAAATTACAGATTAGACATTCTTATAATATGTCAACAAAAGTTAGATTTTATTTCCATCATTTACACTTTCAAAATAACACAAAACAAAAAAATGGCGTCTGCAAAAGTTTGGGCACCCTGCAGAATTTATAGCATGCACTGCCCCCTTTGCAAAGCTGAAACCTGCCAGTGTCATGGATTGTTCTTAATCATCATCTGGGAAGACCAGGTGATGTCAATCTCAAAAGGTTTTAAATGCCCAGACTCATCTGACCTTGCCCCAACAATCAGCACCATGGGTTCTTCTAAGCAGTTGTCTAGAAAACTGAAACTGAAAATAGTTGACGCTCACAAAGCTGGAGAAGGCTATAAGAAGATAGCAAAGCATTTTCAGATGTCAATATCCTCTGTTCGGAATGTAATTAAGAAATGACAGTCATCAGGAACAGTGGAAGTTAAAGCAAGATCTGGAAGACCAAGAAAAATATCAGACAGAACAGCTCGCAGGATTGTGAGAAAAACAATTCAAAACCCACGTTTGACTGCACGATCCCTCCAGAAAGATCTCGCAGACACTGGAGTTGTGGTACACTATTCCACTATAAAGAGATACTTGTACAAATATGGTCTTCATGGAAGAGTCATCAGAAGAAAACCGCTTCTACGTCCTCACCACAAAAATCATCGTTTGAACTTTGCAAATGAACATATAGACAAGCCTGATGCATTTTGGAAACAAGTTCTGTGGACCGATGAGGTTAAAATTGAACTTTTTGGCCGGAATGAGCAAAGGTACGTTTGGAGAAGAAGGGGCACAGAATTTAATGAAAAGAACCTCTGTCCAACTGTTAAGCATGGGGTTGGATCAATCATGCTTTGGGGTTGTGTTGCAGCCAGTGGCACAGGGAACATCTCAGGAGTAGAAGGAAAAATGGATTCAATAAAATTTCAGCAAATTTTGGATGGTAACTTGATGCCATCTGTGAAAAAGCTGAAGTTAAAGAGAGGATGGCTTCTACAAATGGATAATGATCCTAAACCCACCTCGAAATCCATGGGGGATTACATCAAGAGGCGTAAACTGAAGGTTTTGCCATGGCCTTCACAATCTCCTGACCTCAACATAATTGAAAATCTATGGATAGACCTTAAAAGAGCAGTGCATGACAGACAGCCCAGAAATCTCAAAGAACTGGAAGACTTTTGTAAGGAAGAATGGGCAAAGATACCTCAAACAAGAATTGAAAGACTCTTGGCTGGCTACAAAAAGCGTTTACAAGCTGTGATACTGTCAGGGCAGGAGCTGAGGAACGGACAGGCAGGCCTAACAATGTAACGCACTGGCTGACGACAACCACCACCCACAGACCAAAGTCCCTCAGGGCGCGGAGTCTAAGTCCCAGGCTGCCCTTCACCAGGGCCCCTGATGGTGGGGATGGACTTGACGCAGCCAGGAACCAGGTCGCGGCCCCCGAGACACCTCAGCTGCGGTAATGGCCGCCGCCAATGGCGTGTAGCTGGTGGAAGAGACAAAAGAGTAGTCAGACAAGCCGGGGTCAACAACAACAGGACAGAACAGTACAGGACAGCAGACGAGAATCACAGGTCACGAGCCGGGTTCAGCAACAGAGGGTCAGATCAAAGGAGAATACAAAGAATAGTCAAGACAAGCCGAATCAGATACCAGGAGAGTCACGAGAGTCAGAACAGAGTAACAGCAACACAAAGACACAAGACACAAGTGCAAAGAGCATGCGCGGGCCACAGGCTTATATGTCACCAGCCACACCCCTCCGGAGGATGGACCACAGAAACCCGAAGGCACAAAAGGACTCCCATCATGCACAGCAGAACCCAAGATGGACACCAGCACACGAAGCAACACAACCACAGGAAAAAGGTAGGACCTTGACAGATACTTGCCAAAGGGGGCAGTACAAGATACTAACTCTGCAGGGTGTCCAAACTTTTGCAGACGCCATTTTTTTGATTTCTGTTATTTTGAAAGTGTAAATGATGGAAATAAAATCTAACTTTTGTTGACATATTATAAGAATGTCTAATCTGTAATCTGATGCCTTTTGGAGATTTTTCCATCTTTCCTTGGCTTCTTTATGCACATTAATACAAATTTTTAGCTGGGGTGCCCAAACTTTCGATCCCCACTGTATATATATAAAAAAAAAACCAAAAACAAATATATACAAAATAACACATGCATGTATGAAAATGCTGCAGAAATTAACCATTTGTGAACTGGGTTATACAGAATATATATTTATGTTGCTAATCAGGTGCTATAGCAACTTCCTGACTTCTAATCTGTCAACGTTGATTTAGCATCCACTCATTAAAAAGGTTAACCTTTTTTCTACATTTATTAGATATACATGTCAAAATGATCAACATAATGTAAATAATCTTATCAAAGTGTGTTAATGTGTGAAATCCATTTTTCCTCCCTACAGTTTGTAAACATGAATGCAGCCATATTAGCTCATTACATACTGTATGTAGGTGATTTCTACTACACAGGAACTCACTACTGCTGTCTCTCAGTTCAAGTCTATTGCTGGCCATACACCAGGCAATGTTCATCACTTTCAAACATCTTCAATGCAACCAATCACTACAGTTTACTTTTTTTTAATAAACATTATTGGTGGTAGATTGCCCTGCTCAATGTCAGCAATTTTTATAAAAGAATGCCTTCTAAAAAAAAAAAAAAAATCAGCTACATTCCATTCTAGCAACAGGCAACATGCATAATGATTTCCTGGCTTCTACCTAGTTTGTTGAAACTACAAAATAAATTTGTCCATGTGGCTATTGGTAATGGCATGTGACTACTAAAATGTTATAAAAAGGATGGTGTTCAGGGACTTTTTTTTTGTCCCCGTGGCTTCCCCCATATACAGGCTAGGTTTAAGCCCAATGTATGATGGGTTGGATGTATTTTGACATATCCTCCTCTAAGTCTGATGAAGAAGATTTGATATCTGGGAGATACATTGGAGTATACTGTCCCTATCCCACTGCATGAATTGGCTCCAAATTGCAGGAAATGTTAGGTTGCAGCTGTGCACACAGGCTTTGCACCCCTAAAGTGTTCTAACACCTGTCCTGATGAAGTGGCCACTTTGATACCACAAAATGTGTGGATTGTATATTGTATTTTACTGTCTCAGCAATAAATATCTACCTTCCGAAGAGAAAAAAATGGTTGCATTCATCAGAAAACTACCCAAGTGTATGGCTAGCATATAGACAAAATCTGAATGATAAGAAAAGCACTTTTAGTTAACCAGGCCATACAAGTAGCAATTCCCAGGCAATTGCAAAAAGTTTTTTTTTATTGCTAATATGATGGAAAGTGATTAAAAGAACCTACCATTACCAAACGATGTGTCCTGGGTCTGATGCCTGGTGCCTAGTGAGACCTAACAGAGCAAGTCACTCTGACAGTCAGAGTCACTTGCTTTGTTGTATGCAGGCAGCTTTGGGCAGAGGGATATCCAGCTAGGTCCTGCCTCTGGCCATAGAGCAAAGATCCACGAGGAACCAAGATTTATTTATTTATTTCAGGTACTTATATAGTGCCGTCAATTTACGCAGCGCATTACATATATATTGTACATTCACATCAGTCCCTAACCCTCAAGGGGTGTACAATCTAAGGTCTCTAACTCATATTCATACATACAGATACTAGGGCCAATTTAGACAGGATCCAATTAACCTACCAGCATGTCTTTGGAGTGTGGGAGGAAACCGGAGTACCCAGAGGAAACCCACGCAGGCACAGGGAGAACATGCAAATTCCAGGCTGGTGGTGCCGTAGTTGGGATTTCAACCGACGACCCTAGTACTGTCAGGCAGAAGTGCTAGCCATTTAGCCACTGTGCTGCTCACAAGATGAGAGCTCTGCAGTGTTTCACGGGTTGTAATGTGTTACAATGCAAGCTGATGTGCATCAACATGTGTCTTAACAAATGTGGTGACATTAGTTTTAATGCAGTTCTATTTATTTACTTAGAATCACATCAAGGAGAAACACATAGGTACAGACAAGCCCTTAACTGGAATTTGTAAAGTTTTTGAGAATTTCGACAATCAGTGATATTAAATGTACACCCCAAAATACTGACTTGCCATTTGAAAGGTCCTGAGTCTTTTAGGCTTGACTGCATCAATGGAGCCTTTAGGTCTGATAAGAAGTTGGAATGGAGGCTTTGAGGACTCCCAACAAACTCATCCCTTTCATTGGAGACCAAAGAACTGAGGTTTAATGGAACACTGCATGGGGAAAAAAATGGTATAGTCATATTCACAATATCCAGAGAAGATAAACTGAATACAAACCAAATATAACTTAGGATGCTTTACATTCTCAGTGCTACATTATGTTTTAGTATAGCTTACCTGATGTACTAACAGGTAAACCGTCAAAAATGAATTATGAAAAACAATATAAAATTATAAAATTCCTGAATCTTAACCTACTGACACTTAAGAGTAACAATACTCAATACAGTGAATCCATATATACTGTTTAATATATATATATATATATATATATATATATATATATAAAAATTAAACACAGTAATTATACAGTCAAAAGGTGTACTATCTACCATAAGCATTCAAAGTCTTGTGATGAAATTGCACTGGCAGTACTCTTTTCATGAGAGAAATATGGAGGATGCCATTGCTGGTCTCCTTCTAGAAATGCTAGTTGCCTGACAGTCCATGCCTTTTATACCTCTCAGTGGCAGGCTGTTAACAAGCATGCAGTAAATGGAAGCAACAGAAAAGTAAAAATTCCCCATTTCTATGATAGTTCCAGGTCAATGAATCAAACTATTGGTAGCCATGCATCAGCATAACAGTCAGGCAATAAGTATTTTCAGAAAATAAGTTCAACTATACCAGTCCACATAGTTTTCTTAAAAAAACATTGCCACAATGAAGTACAACTAAAGTATGCAGGAAACAAACTCCTTGGCACCTCCCCTTTGTACATCTTGCCAAGTTAAATAAAGCAGCAGACTTATCTGCTCACTTTGGACTGAAATTAAAGTGTACTGCACCCACCTATTTTCCTCTTATTGATATGACAAAAATTAAACAGATTTATTTGGTTCTGCATCCTTTCATAAAAGAAACCAGTATGCTGCTGTATTGGATTTCAGCCTGAAAATATTTTAGTTGCCTGTAGGTCATACTGGTCCTTGGCTTCAATACTTTCATAGTCAATGACCTGGAACAAATATGCAGATCCGGTATTCTGATTTCACGGTGTGTCACATGCTTTCTCTTTGTTCTGGGTCAGCCCGACAATACTATTACAAGGTTTTCTTTTTTTTTTTTTGTGTTCGCTGTGCTATGGTATAACAATATTAACAATAAATATAATAAAAATAGTGATCTGTATGCATTTATGGACTGCCGCTGTTCATTAACAGCCTGAACCAGGTTATCCACATGTACTACTTATTCCTACACAGAGTTGTCTCCACCTCAACTGGATCATACATATTTGAGTGTAATGAATTTTTCTTTTATCCAATAAATATTTTACTACACTGTGGCGGTTCCCGCTTTTGCTGCCCCATTATCTATTTGAACCCCCAGGAGGACCAGACGCGCAGCCATGGTGGAAAGAGTTGAAGGACAACAGCAGAGGAGTACAGAGACAGAAAACCATTGGAAAAGCCTCTAAGGATAAAAATCCACAAGTGTGTGAGACTTACATGCTGACAAGTTTGTTTTTTGCATGAAGCACAAAGAAGAAGATATATGGATTAAGGCTGGCCATACACTATACAATTTTCTGTCCAATTTTGCCCAATTTTCTTTAGATTTACCTTCAACTGTGTAGTGCAAGGGCCCGCCTAATTGGATACAATTGAAAGTGTTGTTTAGGTTTGACCTCATATTATATGGTTTTTTGGTAAATCTACAGCAATTTTCTAAAGAAAACTGTATAGTGTATGGCCAGCCTAAGACTGCACTGGTGAATGGTTTATAAGAAGGAGCACTTAATATTGGATGGGACTTTTGGTGGTTAAACACATTCTCATTGTCTATGTATACACATTTCGAGTTCTTTAAATATATATATTATTATTACAGGTACTTATATAGTGCTGTCAATTTACACAGCACTTTACATATATATTGTACATTCACATCAGTCCCTAACCCTCAAGGGGCGTACAATCTAAGGTCCCTAACTCATTCATACATACACATACTAGGGCCAATTTAGACAGGATCCAATTAACCTACCTGCATGTCTTTGGAGTGTGGGAGGAAACCGGAGTACCCGGAAGAAACCCACACAGGCACAGGAGAACATGCAAACTCCAGGCAGGTGGTGCCCTGGCTGGGATTCGAACCAACGACCCTAGTACTGCCAGGCGGAAGGGCTAACCATTTATATACTGTATATATTTGGCGTTATTTTAATGATTTAGAGATAATAGCACATTTTCAGTTGAGAGGTGGAGACAGCACTGTGCGAATAGTAAACGCTTGATACAGCTTTTATTGCTGTTTTATGTCAGACACTGCTGCAATTCTTTAATGACTGCAATGCACCAAATTGAGCATCAGTTAAAAATATTTACAGTATGTTAGAGACAGGCATTTTCTGACCCACTTTAACCACTACAATACCGGGCACTTTCACCTCCTTCCTGCCTAAGCCAATTTTCAGCTCAGCTTTCAGCGCTGTCGCACTTTGAATGACAATTGCACGTCATGCAACACTACACCCATATAAAATTGTTATTTTTTTTTTTAGACAGATAAAGCTTTCTTTTGGTGGTATTTAATCACCTCTGGGTTTATTATTTTTTGATAAACAAACCAAAAACAACTGAACATTTTTTTAAAAAATGGTCTTAGTTTCTGTTATAAAATTTTGTAAATTAATAATTTTTCTCCTTCACTGATGTGCACTAATGCGGCTGCACTGATGGGCACTGATAGGTGGCACTGATGAGGAGCACTGGTAGGTGCCACTGATGGGCATTGACAGGCATCACTGGTGGGCACTGAAAGGCAATACTCATATATGGCACTGATAGGCAGCACCGACTGGCACTGATAGGCGGCACTGACTGGCATTGTTAGGTGGCACTGACTTATTAGGTGGCACTGACAAGCGGCACTGATAGTTGGCACTGATTGGCAGCACTGACTGGCACTGATAGTTGCAGCACAGAGATGGGCACTGATATGTGGCATTGATGTGCACTGGTAGGTACTGATATGTGGCACTGATGTGCACTGACAGGTGGCACTGATGGGGCTACAGTGATCATCAGTGCCCTGATGATCAGTGTAGATGTCCCCTCTGAGAAATGCCATTACCAGCTCTCCTCACAAGCTGTCAGCGTGACAGCTCGTGAGGAGAGAAATGCTGATAACCGGCATTTACTTATTTACATGCGATCAGCTGTGATTGGACACAGCTGATCACATGACAGAGCCAAAGTCATCGGCTCTTTCCACCGATCATCGTGCGGTTAGAGTGGGAGGACGTCATATGACATCCCAGAACGAGAACTGCCTTGCACCCGTCATTTCCTTATATGGCGGGCGGGAGGTGGTTAAAGGTTCTACATTTGGTCATTCGTAAATAAAATTACTCATTATAATACCTCAATCCACCCAATTACAGAAACGGAAATAGGATGAGCACATTTGACATGATGTATAACTGAAGGCAACTGAGGAGTATTCTTACTTACCTGGGATCTGTGTCTGTCTGTGCTCTATCATTGGACTCCAAATTCAGATGAAGAAATTGTAAATCATGTTGCTGCTTCATGTAAATCTATCACAAAATGAAAAACCATATGTGACCAATATGAATGCCAGTATGCATCATGCAAACAGTCGCCTATACGTTTCTATTTAAAATTTAAAGGATAAGTGCATCTTTGGGAGCATGTTACGTGTTCCACCCATTTTTTGGGTGAAACGTACTATGTTCCTAATGCTGCAGCCGCTGCCTGAACACCCCCGTAACAGTCACTGTCAGACTGTCACTTTTTAAAAACAGTACGGCCATGCAGGGCTCTGCCCACATGGCTGCATCATTCATTCACAGTGTCCTGTGAATGAATGAACTACAAGTCTCAACAGCCTTTGTGACTATTGGCTTGTAGTTCTCAATGAACTACCACAGCACTTTGGAGTGGCGTGGTAGTTCATTGAATCTTCCCATCAGTATATATACTGACAAGTCTGCAGAAGATCTGCATGGCACCAGCGATCTGCAATGCAACCAAAAATAATAAATGCACATTTTTGTACCTGCAATAAAATGTGCATTTATTATTTTTTGGTCAAAAGGTGAACTTATCCTTTAAAGTGAAACTGTCAGGCACAAAGTGTGTAAGCCAACAGTCCTGGTAAAATGCAGGCCCTATGTAGTATCTAAACACCAGTGATTGCCTTTAGGTCAGTTGCTTTACATCTGTTAGGGGCCCTGTGTTCTAGATGCAGGCCACATACACAGCCATATATCTTCTCTGCAGGCTGAGATTAAGCCCAGCCCCCTGTCATTCAACTGTCAAACTGTAGAACCACTATTGACCACATGGGCTGTGATATTTGAATGGTAGTGGTGGAATTGGCATCAGAACGAGTCAAGTTTAATTTTGAGTTCAAGGCGATGTATGAAGCCTGGGCATACAGTCCAGAGTCCTCATAAGGTACCAGGCAAATGATCTAAAGCAGTTGTAAACTTATGAGGTAATGGGGGCCTCAAATGCAGCCCCTGATATCACCAAAGGCCACATATAATGTTCAATATACAGTATCTCACAGAAGTGTGTACACCGCTCACATTGTTGTAAATATTTTTTTCTATCTTTTCATTGTGACAACACTGAAGAAATGACACTTTGCTACAATGTAAAGTAGTGAGTGTACAGCTTGTATAAATCTGCTGTTCCCCTCAAAATAACTCAACACACAGCCATTAATGTCTAAACCGCTGGCAACAAAAGTGAGTACACTTCTGTGAGATACTGTATGTAATGCTTGAGGACTGTCAGAAACTGCAAACTTAATAAAGGAAATGATGGTCAGAGAGTGTGGACCTGCCACGTTTTTGGCTGGGGATATGCTGCAGAAGAAAATACGAAACTGGAAACATATTACATGAGGCTGGTAGAAATCAATGTCTAGGTCCAAGGGATGCACATCATATACCAAAGGGTAGCAGGTTGGGCACCAGGGATCTAAAATCATAGGTATTTGAAATAAATCTGTCATGAGAAATGCATAGGAGGGCTTTCATAAAAGTAAGAAGTCCTTATTTGTATGCATGTTCCAAGTCAATAACTCACATAGGAGGGAAACTAGGGGCCCAGTCTGAAAGACAGGCAGCTAGCATCTTCAGATGGTGACAGTCCCCAATTCTCTCATATAACATGTTTCCTTTAAAGCATCGGGGGCTTTATCAGTAATGTTAGTTTATACACTTTGGTGACATGACAGGTTCACTTTATGTAAAAAGAAAGGACTGTGAGGTAAATAACATAATCAGGACTTGTGAATGGCTGCTATGGCTTACTGCCATATTAAGTAATAAAATACTGGGTCCTCGGCACCCATAGCAGATGGTTTCCAGACACCGGCTCCCCTTTAATCACCACCAGGTACAATTTATAAGCCGTATACCTGATATCTGGAGACAGGTGGTCAAGAAATGTTTAAAAAAGCAAACAGATGACTCAATGGATTTAAGGGTAGCTCTACTAATAAAACTGCTGCTGAACAGATTATGAAAATAAATCTAGATGAGATCAGAAAAGAATTGACCTAAACGTCATCTGTGATCTTATATCCTTACCTGCCGCAGGTTTTGCAGCTCTATGTCTGTTCGGTCTTGTTTTGATTTTTGCCAGTTGAAGCAGTTGATCTTTTCGCTTTTCTCTTTCAGCTATAAGAAGAATCATTGATTCTGACTGTAAACATCAATTCCAGTGATTAAATATTCATAACATTCATATACAGCATACTGTATGCTGTACAGACTGAGATAAAAACTATGAGAACCATCAGTGCTACAGGGGAGATGGCTCGTTTATCTATTACTGGAAATTTTAGGGCCAATTCAAACCACAAGCTGGGCAAAACGCAAGTGGCTGGTGTGCGCTAAGAGGACATGGTGCTGAAGCACCATTTCCAGCGCATTGCACTATTTTCAATTTTCTTTTGTTGGAACTTTATTGAAATGTCACAAGTCACATTTCATTAGGTTCTATTCATACAGCAGTTTTGGGATGTGGTGGTTTCTGCTGCAGCCCGCTGCGCTGAAAAAAAATACTGCATGTAGTACTCTTTATCAGCTCACACCACTGCAACGCAGTGATGTGAACTGACACCCATAGGCAACAATGCATTTTGCCTTGTCTTTGCACTGAGATTGTGTTGTAAAAGGCTGGCAAATGCATCCCACCACAAATGATGTAAGTGAGCCCTTACTCATTAAGGCCTTTGCACGCAGGGAGTAAAAAACACACCACAAAACACAGGTGCATTATTGTCTATGGAACAATGTACACAGCTGCCTAAAGATACATAGACATGCATTTATTGCAACACTGGCAATTAGAAAAGGATGAAGGAGACTTTTGCACATGTCTACATGCCTATACACGTGTTGATGAAAGGTCTTTATGCAACTTTTATTCAGGATCCTTCAGTCAACAAAATCTGGAGTATAAACATCTGTAAATTACTACGTCCACGTGCAATGGTCTGACAGTTACTTGACTTCAGAGTGATATGAGGTGTACTTTTTGTATTTGAATGCTACCTGGGCAGACATTTAAGCCCCGTACACACGATGAAATATTTTTTTTTGCATGCTATTCTCATATCATTAATGAAAAGGTTGCTAGACTTACAAAAATTATCATAGGACAGAATAAAAATTTGGAAGTGATGTCATGTATTGTAATTTATTTTCAGACCAAAGCTGTACTGATTAAAACAAAAATAGTATGATCTGGTATCGTACGAGCAAAATATTTGTGCTTGTCCTTTCGAATAATTTCAAACGAAAGCTGTGTACTAACGATCAGATTAACGTACAATCGCATCAGAAGCGGTATTTTTTGTACAATTTTCTGATCGTCTGTACTAAGCTTTATAATGTAAAATACAAGAACAAGCCATTGGATTTGGTACCATCCTGTATTCTACCACACCGGAGCTAAAATATCAAAGCTCCAAGGATCAGCCCCTCCTATCCCTCTTGTATTGAACTGTATTGTTGCTGTATTGTCTCCCGTTATATTGTAAAGCGCTGAGCAAACTGTTGGCGCTATATAAATCCTGTATAATAACAAATAATGCGTTCCTAATATCTAATCAATGCTTTCTGACATCTGACAAGGATGCTGCTCTTCTGGCAAGATGAACAGGTAATTCTTGTATTTGCAGAAAACGTTTTTAGCTCGAAAGAAAAATTGCAGCCACCACATGTAAGAACTGTAAGCTGCCAATGTATTGCATTTTCGTTCTCGGGTTTAGTTAGCCTTTAAGGACTGCGCCATAGTAAAAAAAAGTTTGTAGACTTCAGGGCTATGCGTCAGATGTGCTGACTTTGTCAAGTCAATGTGTGTTATGATTATGCAAAGAAAAGATCCACTTAAAAATGCTAAGAAGTTATTAACAGAATTCCTGAGAGTAGAGAGAGTTCCTGAAGAACAATTTGCTGATTTAACTCTCCAGCATCTTCTCAAAACTGAAAAAAAGTAGTTCTGGTTGAACTACTTCTATAGGTTGATTTCAATTCATGATCAACGGTATTGCTGTAAGTGAACTTTGGAACCGGTGATCAGTACAATGAACTTAATGATGAAAAAGGATCACAAGAGATTCATATAGTTATTCTTTGTTACTTTTTATTTGTGGAAAGAAATCCACTGACCTGCAAAGACCAGTTCAGCCTGTAAGTAGGCACTTTCCTGTTTTAGGCGGATGACTTCTTCCCTCTGCTCATTGTTTTCCACTGTCTTCTGGCTCAGGTCATCTTAAATGGACAAGTATAATTACTACATGGTTAATACAATTCACATACTGAAAAGCTGCAGTGAAGTTTATTCATACAAGACAATATTCAAAGGATGTGGGTGTGGATAGGTAAAGTATAAAACCAATCCTGGGCACAACCCAGAATACTGTACATAGACCAAATAACTGCATACATTATATCAGAAGTTGATAAGTTACTTCAAAATCCCAGCTATCAAATCTAGGAGCCAACAGCCACTTTTAGGAGCCAGGGAATATATCCAGACAAACTGGATATTTGTCCAGCCCTGGCTAATCTATTCTTTAGCATCATTTGCACAAAGTACATTATGTACCCTGATTTTTAAAACAAGAGGTTTTTTTAGAAAAATATATTAAGTGAAATCTAGGGACTAATGTAAAAAAATGTTTGAATAAAAAAAAAATGCCTATTGTAGATATACAAGTTATAAAAAAAAATTTGTATAACAAATACAAAATCTTATGCCTTTTAGCTTATAAACTTCAGTCTTCAGCCCTTTGAGCTTGGGAGCAAGATCTTGTGTTTCCCTCATACGCGTAGTTTCCCTAAGTCTGGTCTTGCGCAATTCTGCTTCTAAATCCTTAAATCGAGATGTAAACTCTCCGATGTGTTCAGTAGCTTCTATGATGTCTTTATCCTGCAATGGAACAGTGATAGAACAACACATATTAAAATGTGGCCATAATAGATAAATTAATGAAGGAGATGTACATCATCTCAATACATCTCAAAATGTCTTTCATCTCAACTTTAGAATCTGAAAAACCTACCAAGCTGTAAGGTCAAAGGTGGAGAAACTCAAAGCCTCAGGGATCAGGACTCCCAAGGCAGAACATTTGTCCCAGGTTACAGACTAATGCCTGCTAGAAAAATGTTAGTAATAACCTACTGTATGTTCTACATATGTACCTTCAACTTTAATAAAGTGGAAAGCTCTTCTTCTTGGGCCTGTAGCTGCCCAACTTGTCCTGACAACTTCAAGACCGATTCGCTCAAGCGTCGATTTTTTCCCTATAAAAAGCCAAAAAAGGACATTTATAGAAATTACACCATTATTTTTTTTTAAAGTTCAGTCTAGCATTTGCTGGTTCAGCCTTACTACTTCCTGGATCAACTCCCTGCCAATTGGACAGAGATGATAATCTGATTAATTTCCCAGTGAGCAGGCAAGAGCAGAGATGATAACGGAAACTACATCGCTAAACCTTTGAATTAGGCTGCTTTAACACTGAAAAGTTTTTCAAGCGTTTTTGGGTTAAAAAAAGCGCCTAAAAAGCTCAAGAAAACTGCTTCCCTGTGTATGTATATCTATGTGATTTCACATTGACTCGTTGCGGTGCAGTGTAAAAACTCCTGCTTGCAGCATCTTTGGGGCATGTTCGGAGAATTAAAAACAAAAACGCCCCAAAAAGCCTCTTCCCATTGAAATTGATGGAAAATGCCTGAAAAGCGCCTCTGAAAAGAATTGTCGGTACAGTTTTTAAGTCACATCTCCTTTAAGAACACTCAAAGTGTGGCAAAAGCACGGTAAAAAACGCCTATGCATTTTTGCAGTGGATCAGTGTGAAAGTAGCCTTAGTCTGTAGGCTACCAGGTTATGCAGTACTGCAATATGTTTAAATGGCAATACTGGCTGAACAGAATTACAAACCAATTAGCAGATAAAACAGTATAGCTGTGTTTAAAATGTGTGTTCACCTGTTTTCTACTGATTTCTGAGGAGGCCCAGTATTCTCTTTTTGCTGACAACACACGAATAGTGAATATTCCTAAGAGCCATGCCACAGTGATAATCCTGTAGCTAAGGACAACCAGAAATGGATCACTAGAAAGGAAGAGATTGCTCACCTGTTTCCACAGCATTATTCCCTCACTGGCCAGATGAGCAAAGTGTCGCTCCCTCGCTGACAGAAATACTGCAGCATCTTCCTCACCAGCAATAATGCAATGATATGGAAACAGATGAGTATTTCTCTGCCTTTTGTAGTGATGGGATTTCAAGTGTGCCATGGGCATATAGGTAACCTGGATGGGTCTAAACTGATTGCCAGTTTGCTGCTGTTGACCGCTTTCCATCCATGCATTCAGCTGTAGTACTTTGAGGCAACTGGTGTCAACTAAAGGGATGGTACAATAATGTAGACAGGAGTGAAGGAGTATGTTCTAAGGCAGCCTCTCTCAACCTTTTCAACACAAAGCCATAGTAGTGCACAACTGGCTCAGCTGAGTATTTGTGTCATCACTGCAGACAGGCAAGGCAAAAAGGTCCCCCCACTTCTCTCAGGAGCAGAACAACCGTGATCAGGGCCAGTTTGCGGTGTAATCACTGCAGATATGCAGGGAAAAAAGGTCAAAAGGGTCCCCCCACTTTTTTCGGGGGGGAATTGTGATCAGGGCCAATTTGCTTCTGTTGACCACTTTTCACCCATGCATTCAGCTACAGTATTTTAAAGCAACTGGTGTCAACTGAAGGCAGGGCACATTAATGTAGAAAGGAGTGGTAGAGTATGTGCTAAGGTCCAATTAGCACAATTTTATCTCAATTTCCATATATGAGATCACTGATCTCCAAAACCAACAACCCAGAATCATTTAAGGCACAGCCATGAAATAGTGAGGATTAGCAGTTGGATAAGGGGCTATTTTTTTTTTTTACCCCTTTGCACTTGTATGAAAGAGCCGTTTTTCTAAAAATTAATTTGTGTTATGTTGTAACTTGCAAAAAGTGCTTCATACATCTATCCAAGATGTCCAAAGAAAAAGAAGGGCACTCATCATGCAGGCAGAATCGGACTCTCTGTCCTGAACCTGGCTTTTCCATAGTAGTGAATGACTGGGCTCAGCTGAGTATTTGTGTCATTACTGCAGATAGGCAGGGCAAAAAAGGTCCCCTTGCTTTTCTCTGGGGCGGGGGGACAATAGTGATCATGGCACACATTTTCTAACCTGCCCAAGTATTGTACATATAACCCAATTTATGGGTAAATATGTTTCATGCCTATGGGTTGCCTAGCTATATTAATAAAGATATTTTAGTTGGCTATGTGATCTCACCCTGTAGTACTTCTTGGTTTGTATATCTGCTGAGCATAAAGTTTTTCTTTTGCAGAAGCACAAAGATTGTTCCTCTCTTAACACCAAATAGTTTACCTCCAAGTCTTGACAATGATTATTAGCTTCTGTTGCTATGAGAGAGATCTCCTGAAGTTGCTGCTGGGTGTTCTCCAAGTTTGTCCTCCGATCCTGGTGTTGATCTTCCAGAACTTTTATCCTTTTGGTTAATGATTTGATTATGTTGTTCCTTTTGTGCAGATTACCTAGCAATTAAACATATATATCTCATTACTGCTACCATCAACGTGTGATTTTCCAGCAATTAAAACCCCCAATATCTAAAATCAGCTCAGAGCATGTAAAATTGTGGAGTCTTTAATGTAGACTCAACATCTCTAATGGGCCAAGCATTACTATTCTAGCTTTGCTTAGTAAAAAGCATACAGAAGTTACAAGAGAAAAATGCCAACAATTGGGGTAGATATTATGTCATCAGTAGAGCCAACACCAAACCAATTATAAATGTATTCCTTTACATGTTTATAGAAATTCATAAAGAAAGAAACACCCAAATTTTCTGTGTATCTTTCCAAACTATTTCCTCATATTCTAAATAAATGATTTTAAGAATAATTAATTTTAAAATATTTAAAATACATTACCTTTTTAATACAGCCAGTGGTGTGTTTGGGGAGAAGTGCTGTAAGCACATGTGCGTGTCAATACAGATGCAGAAGTCATCTGAGTTTACCCAAGTATGGCTGCACATAACCATTCGCTTGTATTGGCGGCAGTACGAAACATGTGTGGCTCCTGGGGTTCCAGAAAGAGCTGGGGATTTTATGTCTCAGCACATCAGAGCTGCTGAGCATTTGTCTGAATGAAGCCTAAAAGTTGACCTTCCCTTGTCTGCAAAGTGACAGGCAGATTTTCCCTTGGTTACTGTAGGGGCATGAAGATTGCACCTGGGTCCCTTGGACATTCACCAGGCATTAGGCTCATGCCTAGTTTGCCTTGTAGATGATCCAGCTCTGTCTCAGCAGTTTTGTTGTCCATCTCTGGACTCTCTCATCAATATCTTTTTGTAAGTGAGGTCTCCAGAAGTGGACACAGTATTGTAAATGAGGTCTAACTAAAGATTTATAGAGGATTCAGAACCTCCTTCTTAGTGACCCTGCTAGCGAGCCCGCAACTTCTGCACCAGGTTTTGTATATGCTTCCAGACATTCATTGGATGACTTGTGTTGTATTGGAATAATGCTTATGGCTGCTGACATTGTCTTAATCAGCTAGGGGTAAAATACGTTTTTTTTGGCTATGTACAGTCATGGCCGAAATTGTTGGCACCCTTGATATTTTTCCTGAAAATCAAGTATTTCACACAAAAAAGGTATTGCATTAACACATGTTTTGCTATACACATGTTTATTCCCTTTGTATGTATTGGAACAAATATAAAACAGAGGCAGAAAAGCAAATATGACATAATGTCACACAAAACCCCAAAAATGGGCTGGACAAAAGTATTGGCACCCTTAACTTAATATTTGGTTGCACACCCTTTGGAAAACATAACTGAAATCAGTCGCTTCCTATAACCATCAATAAGCTTCTGACACCTCTCACCCGGAATTTTGGACCACTCTTCCTTTGCAAACAGCTCCAGGTCTCTCTTATTGGAAGGACACCTTTTCCCAACAGCAATTTTAAGATCTCTCCACAGGTGTTCAATGGGATTTAGATCTGGGCTCATTGCTGGCCACTTCAGAACTCTCCAGCGCTTCTTTGCCATCCATTTCTGAGTGCTTTTTGACGTATGTTTGGGGTCATTGTCCTGCTGGAAGACCCAGGATCTTGGACGCAAACCCAGCTTTCTGACACTGGGCCCTACAGTGCGACCCAAAATCCTTTGGTAATCCTCAGATTTCATGATGCCTTGCACACAGTCAAGGCACCCAGTGCCAGAGGCAGCAAAACAACCCCAAAACATCATTGAACCTCCACCATATTTTACCGTAGGTACTGTGTTTTGTTCTTTGTAGGCCTCATTCCGTTTTCGGTAAACAGTAGAATGATGTGCTTTACCGAAAAGCTCTATCTTGGTCTCATCTGTCCACAAGACGTTTTCCCAGAAGGCTTTTGGCTTACTCAAGTACATTTTGGCAAACTGTAGTCTTGCTTTTTTATGTCTCTGTGTCAGCAGTGGGGTCCTCCTGGGTCTCCTGCCATAGCGTTTCATTTCATTTAAATGTCGACGGATAGTTCGCGCTGACACTGATGCTCCCTGAGCCTGCAGGACAGCTTGAATGTCTTTGGAACATGTTTGGGGCTGCTTATCCACCATCCGGACTATTCTGCGTTGCAATCTTTCATCAATTTTCCTCATCCGTCCACGACCAGGGAGATTAGCTACAGTGCCATGGGTTGCAAACTTCTTGATAATGTTGCGCACTGTGGACAAAGGCAAATCTAGTTCTCTGGAGATGGACTTGTAACCTTGAGATTGTTGATATTTTGCCACAATTTTGGTTCTCAGGTCCTCAGACAGTTCTCGTCTCCTCTTTCTGTTGTCCATGCTTAGTGTGGCACAGACAGACACACAATGCAAAGGTTAAGTGAACGTCTCTCCTTTTTATCTGCTTTCAGGTGTGATTTCTATATTGCCCACACCTGTTACTTGCCCCAGGTGAGTTTACAGGAGCATCACATGCTTGTAACATTCTTATTTATCCGCAGTTGTGAAAGGGTGCCAATACTTTTGTCCAGCCCATTTTTGGAGGTTTGTGTGACATTAGTCGAATTTGCTTTCTTTCCTCCCTTTTTTTGTTTTGTCCCAATACACACAAAGGGAATAAACATGTGTATAGCAAAACATGTGTTAATGCAATACGTTTCGTGAGAAATACATGATTTCCTGGAGAAATATCAAGGGTGCCAACAATTTCGGCCATGACTGTATGTGCATTCTCTCTGTAAATGAAATTTATCCTAAAAAAAACCCCAAAAAACCCAAAAACATAAAAACAACCTACTTTCCAGTCTGGCACACTTTTGCTCCAGTGTAAGAATTTTTTGTCGATCATTTTCCCAAGCAAGCAGCTGCCTTTGTTGCAGTGATACAATATCATTGAGCTCCTTATCTCGATCCTTCAGCTCAACAATCAGCAACTGCAGTTCTTTTCTTTGTTTTTGGATAGTAGAATTTTCCAGATTGTGGATAAGAACTTAAGATAAAAAAAAATTAAATCTACAGTTATGAAGGATTTTCCACACCCATGCAGTGAATTGTAAGCACGACCCAGCAATATAGGAGACAAAAACAAGGTCATGTGTCCTATCATATACTGTATACTAAGTGTTAAAGGACTAGTCAATCTAAAAAACCAATGTTAAAATGTATTTCTACTTTTGCAGTCAAATTTGAGAAAAAACTCCACTATATGTTTATGTGCTCCTATTCACACAGTATACCTAAATTAAAAAACAAAACAATGGGATTTATTTATCACCTAGATTCAGACCTGCCTCACTGACTGAATATTGAGGCCTTTCAACCACTTGAGTCCCCCACACTTCAACCCCTCTCTCTCCCTTGTCCTTCTTCTTTTGACTCTCGTTACTCTCATTCTCTTCTGAGGGTAAAGAAGGTCCGGAACTATCATGACAACCCTCAGTCCCCCCTTCCCGTTTAACCGTATCCACTAAGGGTGCTTTCACACATGCTTTTTTGGTGCATTTCCAGTGCGTTTTCTGGTTGTCATGCACCAATGAAACATGGACATGTGCATTTTTTACATGTTTTTGATGCCTTTTACAATCATTTCAATGTAGAGCTAAGTGTTTGGTGCAGTTTTGAAAAGTGCACCAAAGATGCAGCATGCAAAATGCACTGCACCCGTAGAGCAGTTGTGTGAAGAGTCCCATAGGATTTAAAGTGGAATTACATCCAAAAGGGAAAGTTCCACTCTTCTTCCTCCTCATCTATTGGGGAGTAGCGGATACTGGTTTTACCCCCTACTTCTGCTTGCATTGCCTAGGCAATCTGAGTGGAAATTCTCATCCCCCCCCCCTCACTGCCCACAGATTTCTGGGACACTTCACAGGTCCCAGAAAGCTAAAGGACCACTCACAGGGAGCAGCACGGCTCAAGCATTCGCATGCAGCTGTGAACAGTTAACATGCTGGCAGTAGGATCTGAAGACCGATGAGAAGAAACTGGTTCGGGTGAGGACAGCACTAGATCCCTGGACAGGCAAGTGTCTGTTTATTGAAAGTCAGCAGCTACAGCTTTGTAGCTGCTGAATGACTGAAGCCCACTTTAAAAGGTAAATACTTTTATTGCATTTTTCGTGTGTATGTAGCAAGGTAAAAACACAGCAAAAACGTGTCAGTGTGAAAGGGCCCTCAGTCTGGCTATTTGTTTCTTTTCAGAAACTATTGTATTGTATTACTGTATTACGACCCGAACAACCTCAGACCCATCTCCCTGCTCCCATTCTCATCCAAACTCCTCAAGCGCTTAGTCTACAATCGCCTAAGCTCCCACCTCAATGACAACAACCTCCTCGATCCCCTACAGTCCGGCTTCCGTCCCCTACACTCCACCGAAACTGCCTTACTCAAACTCTTCAGCGACCTTCTAACCGCCAAAGCTAATGCCCACTATTCCTTTGCTCCCTCTGCCAATCCCTCCACTGGCTTCCGATTGCACAATGGATCAAATTCAAAATCCTAACACTGACATACAAAGCTGTTCATCATACTGCCCCGAACTACATCACGGACCTAATATCCAAGTACCACCCAACACGCACACTCCGCTCCTCTCAAGACTTTCTTCTCTCTAGTTCCCTGGTCTCCTCCTCCCATGCCCGCCTCCAGGATTTTTCCAGGACATCACCTATCCTCTGGAACTCCCTACCCCAATCCATCAGACTATATACCTACTCTCCTCTCATTTAGGCGCACCCTGCAAAACCCATCTCTTCAGGGAAGCCTACCCCACCCCCTGCTAATTGCCGACCTCCTCCACTCTTCCGACCACTCCATCCCCCACAGCTATCTCCTCCTGTACCACTATCCCCTCCCTCCTAGATTGTAAGCTCGAAAGAGCAGGGCCCTCAACCCTCATGTATCATTGTATTGTTTTCTTACTGTCGCACGTTCTGTCTCCCTTTGTAATGTACAGCGCTGGGCGAACTGTTGGCACTTTATAAATACTGTATAATAATAATTACTGTAGTTGTTATAGCATAGTTTCAATATCTTTCAGACGATGAGCTATTTTATACAAAATCAGGTTCCTCACACTCTGTACTATGACCGATTATGCATAGTATGTGCTTTATTTTTCTGCATACAAAAAAAAGTTTATTGAAAAATCAATTTAGAATAACAAATGACCTGTGTGTTTGTTTGGAGCAGGCACAGGGCAAGCTGTAAGCTGCTCTGAACAATTTGAAATGAGAGTCATATTGAGTTTCCTATCATTAACAAACAATGCATAAGGAGAACTTATACAATCTTTAAAGTTTTGTAAGGACAAACAATATTCAAATCTCATTTACAACTGATAATGAGATCTGCCAGCACAATACAGACAGTATTAAAACCTAATTCCAGGTTTTCTTGCTCTTGCCTTTCTTTGTACTTGTTTGGAGCAGGCCTGGGGCAAACTGTTCCTCTTAACAATTTGAAATGAGAAAAAACTCCATCTGCCCCAGATTCACACTGAGTTCCCCATTATTAATAAACAATACAGAAGGCTCTCTTTTAAAATGTTTTAGGCCCCTTGCAGATGGAATAGACCCATCAACAGATCCGCCTGCTCAGCGGGGGATCTCTCTCCTGATCCCTACTGAGCAGGCAGAGGACAGCTGTGTGTCCGCTCCACTGCCGCAGAGAGGATACAGACATAGCCCGCTGACTTCTAGGGGGCAGTCAGATGTAAAAGGACCACTTGTCCATTTCCACCCGACTATCATCTGATCTACCAGATGGATAGGAAATGGATTCCCATCTGTGTTTTTGGCGTACAGGATTGGATCAGATGCAGATGGGTGTCAGCGGACACTTGTTCGCTGACACCCCGGCGGGTGTCCACAGAGGTCTATGGATGGTAAAATCGGGTCTACCTGAAAAACTGGCAAGCAGATCCGATCGGACTGTCAGTGTGAAAGGGGCCTAACTCTTTGTTAAGACCAGCATCAGTATGTAGCATGCAGCATTGTATACAAAGCTCCCTTTATATGAGTTGGAAATCCTGAAGTCATCTGTCCGCCTCAGCCAATCAGAATGGAGAATTGGCTGAACACTACTCAGCCCAACTATTTTGTTCCTGGAGTGAGATGGGGAGTTCCCATCCCACTGCCAGAACAGAGCTGTGTACTGTATGTAGTTGAGGCTACATACACCTAATCCAGCATGCCCAGCAAGCTCACCTGTTAGTGCAGTAAATCATTTGTTTGGTCCCACTTGGCCCAAACAAACTATTTTAAAAAGGGACTATGTGCCATATTTCCTAGCTTTGTTCCCACACATCTTGCAGTGATACAAACCACACTATTTAACTCATTAGCAAAATGAATTTGCTCAGTTGAGGTGGTATGACCATTTTTTGTTATGAAAACCTTACTATGTTTTTTCTTAGGCCTAATTCACGCCAATGCGGTTTTAGTGCTTTTTGCAGAAAAAACACTACAGTCCGTTTAACATGGTTTTCTATGGGACACGTTCACATCTATGCTTTTTTTAGCCGCTTCGTTTTTGGAAAGGGTCAGGGACATTTTTAAAAGCAAAACTTTGCGTTTTTGGTTCAATAGACTTCAATGGAGAATGCTGCAGAAAACGCATGTAGTGCATTTTGCGTTTTGAATCTACCCAGCAAGTTAACTCCCCCCTCCAAAAATAAAAAATAAACAAATTAAAAAAAACCCAGCAAAATCCATCATAAAAAAATGTACGTGAAAACCAAAAAACACACCACAAAAAGCATTGCAAAATGGACCAATGCATACTGCATTGCTGTGAACCAGCCTTAAATCATGTACAGTATGAAGCTGAAGGGGGCAGCTAGTCTGTGATTAAAAGAAGAATGTTCCTCAACTGCCTGCTGACAGTCCTTGGGGATTTAAAGGCCGCTCAGAAAAATACAACTCAACCAATGAACTTTTTCAGTGGGAGCAGTCTGGCTTGGTATGTCCTTTACAGTGGCAAAGAGCCCATATACTTTACAATATTCACAAACTCAAGCAGATCTTTTGAGTTTATGTGGCTATAATTTTTACTTGCTGTGCAACACTTTACTAAATTCAAAGGCATCTATATACATTAGAAGGTTTTTTTTGCTGGATTGTATTACAATTGTTATACCTATGACTTCTTACTAGAGCTGCCCCTGGATGCTTCATTTCAGAAAAAGTCAGACATGTTTGAAGCTCATAGGCAGGGACTGCACTCTTAAGGTGGGAATACACGATTAGAAAATCAAACCGATCGGTCATCCGACGACCAAGAGGCGATCGTTCCTTGGTCGAAATTGTGTCCCACATTAACCATCTAAAAAAATTGTTCGTTGGGCAATACATAGTGTTGACATCTTCCGTACAAGTGGAAGTGATGCGGTGTGTGTGTGACCTTGTAGCCACGCCCTTCCGGCCAGAACGAGCAATATACACAACAATTACCAGCAATGAGTATAATATAGTTTATTACATTATCTATATACATAAATAGTGATACATAAAATATAATATGCAGAATTCTGGTTTCAGTATCTCATTAGGCTAATCTACTTTTAACATTTGGATTTTTTGTTTGTGTTTAAGAAGATTCTTTGGACATAAACATCTGAGTCATCTTCTGTTTCCGCTCAAGCGTGATAGCGCTTGATAGATTTTTTTCATACGACCGTCATACCACCGCATAGAAAATCGGTCGTTCGTATGCAAAATGACAACATTTTTCATTGTTGTTCAACCGGATTTTTTCGTTCACAATATCGTAATCGGTTAAAACTTCCTGCTCATCAACGAAGAGAAAATCATTCGACCAGTGGTTCCGCAAAGGTTTTCATACGATTTTCTTATCTGGTGTACGGGGCATTAGGGCTGGTGTACACAAGCCGTGTGCAGTGCGATCAGCGGAGCTCAGCACAGTGATGATGTGCTGAGCTCGGCAGTTTCCTTTTTTTTTATATAAGGAACTTTATTGAGATTTCACAAAGA